ATATATATATATATATATATATATATATATATATATATATATATATATACATATATACATACATAATTATTTATTTATTATATTTATTATTATTTATTTCATTTTTTTTCTTTTACATTTACGGAAAAAATTATAATGACAAGGGCTGCATGATATCGGTAAAAAAACTGACCTTGCGATATTTTATGTTTCTACAATATATATTTAGAAATGAATATAATTTCACAATATGACTTAAGTAATTGTTTGGAAAGAATGGATATATTTAAATTGATTGGGATGTTTTTGTAGGGAGTGCATCTGCATAAAATATTTGTAAAAATTCTTAACAAATTAAAGCACAGATGAAAACAACAGAACATGGATACAAATAAAATAAGCAGTGCTTTATTGTTTGTGGTGGAATCTAACTATATTGAGGGACAAAAATTGGTGGTGCAGTGGGTAGCACAATTGCCTCACAGCAAGAATGTCTTTAGTTCGAGCCCTGGCTGGGTCAGATGGCATTTCTGTGTGGAGTTTGCATGTTCTCCCCATGTTCGCGTGGGTTTCCTCCAGGTGCTTCAGTTCCCCCTGTACAAAGACATACGGTATAGGTGAATTGAAAAAGCTAAATTGGCTATAGTGCATGTGTGTGAATGCAAGATTGTTTGGGTGTTTGCCAGTGTTGGGTTGCAGCTGGAAAGGCATCCGCTGTGTAAAACATATGCTGGATAGGTTGGCGGTTCATTCCTCTGTGGCGACCCCTGATTAATAAAGGGACTAAGCCGAAAATAAAATAAAGGAATGAAAAAACACTGTTTAGTCTTCATTTTTTAAATAATTCAACAAAATTAATCTTTCATAAAGTGACAAACTTATAATTTAAATAATTAAAAACTAAGTTTTAAACTGCTTTAGATCGTGCAGTGGCAGGTGGTAAAAACATATCCAAGTAATAATCTTTTACACTATTAGGTTATGGTTCAGATTTACAATGACTGGACAAATAATGTGTACTGAACTGTGTTTTTTGATCAATTATAATCCTAATTTGACATTGCGGATCCTGTGACAATTGCAAATGTACACAATTGCAATATCGAAGCTTAAATGATATATTGTGCAGCCCTAATACTGACATTAATATAAGATAAATACATATATATATATATATATATATATATATATATATATATATATATATATATATATATATATATATAATTTAAATTGTTCAATTTAGATTAAAAATGGCAAAATAAATTATACAAAATTAGATATTTAAAAATGTATTATTTTTAATAATTATAGTAAAGTTTTGTTATTATATGCTGATAAATTATGATTTTTTACATGATTAATTTATAATAATTAAGTGTTTACCTTTCTTTAATAATTTGTGAAAAATGTGTTCTTGAATGTAGATATTATGTTTTTTGAAGACTTTGTGCAAGAAAGCTTGTTTAAAAGACATGAAATATTTAAATGATGTTTATTTTATCCAAACGATAAAATTAAATATTATTATTATTATTATTATTATTATTATTATTATTATTATTATTATTATTATTATTATTATTAATTTTATTAGCTTTTTTTTTACCACAAGTAATTTGAGTTATTTGTGTTCTAATAATAGTAAAAAGTCAATCAATTCTAAGTTCTAGTGCCATATCAAGAAAGTAATGGTTAAATTATGTAGAAACATCACAGTATTATGTTAATTTATTTAACCTATATATTTGTGTTTTGGTTCAGGTTTGGTCGTTACTTTGAGACTCCTCTACTTTGGCAGAGTATAATCATGATCGTCACAATGTTAATCATGCTGAATCTGTGCACCAGCGTCCGCATGGCCACTGAACTCAACACCAAACGCCGCTCGTTCACAGGTGTGAAACTTTATCACTTTTTTACAGCCTTATTGTCCAATAAAGTGTGTGTGCAGCTGCTGTTCTCAGCACAGTATTGCAGATAATGTATAATCAGTTTTATTTCTGCAATTCTCTCTCTTTTTTAAAAAGAAATTCTGTCATTCTTGGTTTCCCTGTCTGTTTAGCTGAATGCAGTCTATTGAATTGCAGTAAATGATGAAGTCACATGGTCAGGGTCTTTCTTTGAATGTGACTCACAAGATTATCACACAAGGAGGCTCTGGATGAACTTTGACCGGCTGCCTACTTGCTGAACATCAGTCTTTCAGTCTTTATACCATGCTTGTGGTGTGCTACAAAGTTTACAAAAAAAAAAGAGTTTGTTCTCTCAAACTGCCATCATCTTTTAAGCAGGAGTGCTCAAATTAGTTTGAAATGGAATTTGTATGTACTGTTAACAACATACAAATGTTAAGAATGCTAAACAGTATGTAGTGTGTAATAATTTAAGGGTGCTTTCACACCTACACTTTTGTTTCGGAACGTGTCTCGTTTGCCCAGTTAGCGCGGTTCGATTGGCATATGTGAACAGGGCAATCGCGCTCTGTTCCGCGCCAAAGTAATCGCTCCGAGATCGCTTGAATGAGGTGGTCTCGGCTCGATTGAAACGAACCCTGGAGCGGTTCGATTGCAGTGAGAAAGCGATCCGATCCGAGCGCGGTTATATCACAGTGTTTTATGGATATGTAATAGGCTTACGGCTATATGAAGAGAGAATTATGAGTATGGCGGGAAGTTTCGCGAGTCTCCGTATGCCCGCAAACGAGTGATGATCTCCCGGTAATCTCGTGTCTCTCTCCCAGTCCTCAAATAGGCATCATCGCGCACCCTTCTCACCCCTCCCCACCGTGTCTCTCCTCAGACACATCGCGCGCACCCTGTCAATCACCACCAAACCACCACCTCTCCTGACAGCTGTAAGGAGAGTTTACTCGCACGTGACTTGTTTTAGCTCTTTTGGTCCGATTAGAAACTTTGCAGTGTGAAAGCGAACCGCTCCAAGAGCAAAGAGCAACAATGTAACAATTTTAATCTCTGTTTCGGAACAACTGAATCGATTCACAGGTGTGAAAGCACCCTAAATTTAAATCAAAATTTCTCTTATTCAAAGGATTATGTATATACAGTAAAATTTTCTACATTTCAGAAGTTAATATTGCTACTTTTTTATTTAGTAGTTTGACTGAACTCCGCTTTCATTGAAAAATCAATGCCTGCTTCTGCATCACTGCCTGTTTAGCAACGCGTACTGGTTTATGCCGCTGTGGGTTACTAAGAAGAGAGGTTCATATCAATGCAGAAACCAAACTATAAAGATGTTTTGAAGACGAAAAGGCGATGTGCAGTGCCAATATGAGGAAAACTCACTTCTCAAAGTTCTCGCTTCTAATTCCAGCATTATGAAAGAGTTGAGATTTATTTAATGAAGTTTGTCAAATGGGCTTGAAAATCCAACTATAGGAAACGGACCCTTTCCTCTCTATATGCACCTCACATTTTCTTATAAACACCCTGTTACAAAGGTTCCTCCTAGAATAGATATCAATCACATTTTGAACAAGTACATTCTATTTTTTAGATGCCGACTAACTATGAGTATGCATGACAGCTACCATACTCACACCTTAAATTTGGCATGAAACAGAAGTGATATTTGTCAATTTCCCCCCCAAATCCAACATAAAATGAACACACGGTGGTTCTGGTTTTGCAAAGTAGGATGCAATCTTGGATTAACATTTATGTTGTTAATGTGGAACATTATTCCTGTTTGAAAATATAATCCATACATAATCCCTACCCCTAAACCTAACTGTAAATTATTTCCAAAATCAGAGAGGATTAATAGTTGGATAACAGTAATGTAGAAGCACATAAATCTAACTATAAGCCTGAACTTAACATAATATTCAATCCCTTGAAGGAACACTTGTAAACATTTTTTACAAGTCCACTAGAATTAAACAGTTGAGCTTTACCAATTTTTAAATCCTTTCAGATGATTTCTGGATCTGACAGTAGCCCCTTTAGCTTAGCTTAGCATAAATCATTGAATTGGATTAGACCATTAGCCTGCAGATTTTACCTCCAACTTGCCTCAACACACCTGCAAGGATGTTTCTAGAAAGTGTAGAAAGAGCTTGATTAGCTAGCCCAGATGTGTCTGATTGGGATTGGAACTAAACTTTGTGGCTCTCCAGGACCGAGTTTGGACACCCCTGCTTTCCCCTGCAAGTCATTTCACTCGGTGGCCATCTTTAAAACGCCTCTTGGGCAGTATGCTTGGCATTCTTTTTGAATAGGGAAACGTCAAATTCTCCAAAATTACACGCCAAGCTTACGAATAAATTTCATATTAGGAATCCCAAATTAAATGAAACAACAACTGTCTCTGTTCTAAATGATCACACAAAATCTGCAGAAACTTGGATCTGGTCTGAGTCCCTCCCCCTGATAATCATCAGTCTGTAGCGATTAATGATTGGCTCCTGTACTAGAAGGTGGGGCTTCATTTGCCATCTTGACTGTTACACTTTCCCCATTCAAAACTATACAAGTGACACGTCTTGTGTATTCTATTGTCTTTGACCTTACCCAGGAATTGACTGAATGGATTAAAAAATGGTAAAACTCAACTGTTTAACTTCAGGGCATTTGTAAAATGAACATATTCCCCCAAAAGGCCAGTGCTCTCTTAAATTCAATTGGTATGTTGATGTTGATCCATGAGCATGTCATACTTGGTGAATCACACTAACCTGAACACATGTAGTGTGATAATTTTATACACAAAAATTGCAGTATGTCTAGTTCTGAAGTATTAATAAAACATTTTGAGTAACAATATTTCAAACATATACAACTGAACGAAACACAAGATAAACTTAAAGGCACTCCTTGGACAAATATGAAGTTTTAAACCAACAGTCTAACTTGTCTGTTTACCCAAGGACATCCTGTTTGATCAGCTTATATATGTTGGTTTGCATGCTGTTCTGTCTGTATTTAGTGGGTCAACCGTTTTCTTTGTGTGTCGATATCAAGGATATAAAGACAGTAGTGTGACGTCATACAATTCTGTCTGTTTTATCATGAAATCCAAGAGATCCAAATTGTTAACCTCTGTCCTTAACAGCAATGATGCTCGTAAACTCTCCTAAAGACATATTAAGGCTGTTCAGAATAACTAGATGAATTGCAAAAGCATACCTTCTGTAAAATTAATCAAATTAAGATATGACTTTCAACATTAAAATTACAATCTTACAGTTATGTAATTTTGAATAAGCCCAATTGGGCATAAAAACATGAATGATCATCATCTGCTGTAGTCTCGCAGTGATGGTATCTGTCAAAAAAATACCAGTCAAACTATGTTTCAAAGTCTCTTATCCTCAACAAACTTGTTTGAGTTACTTTCTATTGTTGAACACAAAGGAAGATATACTGAAGAAGGTTTGGGAAAAAACAGCTGTTTACTTCCATAGTAAGAACAAAAAACACAATGGATGTCAGTGGCTTCTTTTTTCCCAACATTCTTCAAAATATATTTTTTGTGTGCATCAGAAGAAAGAAATCCATAAAAGCTTAGAACCAGTGTCAGTAAATGGTGAGGACAAGTTCGTTTTGGGGTAAAGTATCATTTTAACAGAAGCCGTACTATTATTAAACATTAAAATTAAAAAAAATTATTTTAGTTTTCTATTTTTTGATAAAAAAAATAGATAACAGTGATTTAGAAGCATATAAATCTAACTAGAAATCTGAACTTAACTTAATATTCAAACTTGTCTATTGAAGGAACACTTTCATTGCCTTAACATTTTTTTTTTACAAGTGCCTTAGAGTTAAAGGGCCCTATCATACACCCGGCGCAAGGCGCAGCGCAATAGTCTTTTAATACTTTCACCTCGGCGCAAGGGTAATTTTGAGGCATTGCGCCACGCTGTTTATATAGCAAATGCATTTGCGCTCAAATGTGCGCCCATAGGCGTTCTAATCTAAAAAAGCAGGCGTGTTTTGGCGCGTTGCTATTTTGAGAAACTGTAAATAGTCTGTTCTTTAGACCAGAACAAAATCGGTCTATTGTCAGGCGCAAAGTGCGCCATATGGGGCATAGCAGGTGTATTTGAAAATAACTTAGTATTTTGACCAAACTTTGTTATTATTAATCATTTATTCGTTTGCTGGAAATTAGAACTGAATTTAGGAATAGTTTTGAAACAAATCTTTGCGCTTAACAAACTAAATTAATTATTTATAGGCTAATTGATGACTGTGCGGTAAGGTTTCCCTATCCACAAGAGCAAAAGCGAAAGTGAACTTACTTTACGTCATATATAGATGGATGGATCGATGGATAAATAGATGGTCTACCTGTCTGTCTATCTGTCTGTCTGTCTGTCTGTCAACATAATTATAAACCTCATTTATTTCTTGTACTAGTCAGACCCATTACATAAATGAGAATGAGCAAGGATATTTAACACCCCAATGCCACAATATAAATTATGCTTTGCTGTCTTAATGTATAATATGCTTCCTTAATGTTTGGTTCCAGGATGAAATATGAATTGGTCTTGTTTTCATGCTTTCAGGGCCTTTTTTGTGTAGAAGATGAAGCGATGCAATCTATTTCCCTCTCTTTCCCTGTTCTTATGTTTTGTTTATTTGTCTTATTTGTCTGAAGCAACAGACAGTAAGGACGAAGAAATCAAAGTTCCTAAGAGGCTCTTTCTGGGTATGTACTGATGGGTTTCCCACAAAACATCAGTTTGATATAGATTTTCCCCCCCTTAATTCATCCATCCTGCTCATTTTTTCCCAGTACGACCTGACGGAACCATATACTCCTCTAATCCTGCCATCATTTCACAGCTCTCTATTAACCCTGTAATTGCACTTGCATGTACCCAAACAGACATGCAAAATGTATGAGAATGAATAGCAAATGCATGTTTAATTAGTACATTTCAATTTGGCATGTCTTGTTGGAATTGCAGTACTGCATGCAAGTATGAACTTTTGATCTACAGTAAGTTTATGTATGTATCACTTTAATATTTCAATCAAAGAAATATATAATAATTTAGTTTTGCATGATTTAACTGGTTGCCAAATCAAAAATGCTACAATATTGTTTACTGCTTCAAACTGTACTGTATATTTCCGCTGTTTTACTTGCTGACTTTATGATTTTAGAATAGTTTTGCATGGCTTGGGGTTTTATTCTGAAAACAACTGCATTGTTTGTCACATGACAGTCTGCTAACAGTTAACAAACACTTTTAAAGGGTTAGTTTACCCCCCAAAAAATTATTTTGTTTACTCATCCTCTACTTGTTCCATACCTGAGTTTCTTTCTTCTGTTGAACATCAGGGATTTTTTTTTCTAAAGAATGTTTGAAATAGTCATTGACTTCCATAGAATTTTTTTTTTATTCCTACTATTGATATCAGTGGCTAATTTACATTCAAGACAGAATGTATTGTTTTGTGTTCAACAGATTAAATTCTTATACATCACTTGAGTGTGATTAAATGTTTAGGAAATGTTCAGTTTTGTCTGAACTATTCTTTTACCGAGGCATGTTTTTCCTTTACAGCACCCTTTTTTATTCCTATAGTTGTACAGCAGGTGGCGTTGGTGCTTTATAGCTGAGAAATGCTGTTGTGAAGTCTGATTAATAGAGCTTATTGCATAGGTTTACCTTTATAGGTTTAACTTCTATAGTATGTATACCCTCCATCTGAGAGTGGCTGATGGATTTGGGGTTTTTGGAGGGAATTCAAATGATTTTATTCCGGAAAGAGTCTTATTGTTGACTGTAGATTCCAGAAGTTGTGTTAGCAGCACATGTGCTGAATCAGGGTATTTATTATTGAAGATGTGTTTGTGTAGAGTTTATTACTATCATTGTCAGGAAGTTGCTAGGAATTTATTTTTCTCTCACTGTAACATCTGGTCTTCAGTGCAGTTTTGAGTTCTTCCTTTGACCTAGGACTTCCAAACTTGAAGCAAATCTAACCGTCTTTGTTGGAAGCAACAATAAGCATGTGCACATGTAAATTGACAGTATATTTCTGTTTTCTCTGCTCTTTTTAATGCAAGTTAAAAATGCCTACATGTCAAAAGTTTAATTCTACATCTGTGCATGATGTAGGGGTATATATTTAGTCATTTAAATGAAATGCTAATATTTATTTAATTTTTACCCTAATTTCATTACCATTGTTCTTACTGTTGTAAATATTACAGCAAGCATTTCGGCTTTTTGCATTCAGTTTACTACCATTAATTTTATCAGTAAACTAAACTTTAAATCAAAAATAAATAAATAAATAAAGGTGGCCACAATTATGATTTACAGTCGGAGCTAGAAATCTAATATTTACAGGTAAAGCTTCATATTATGATTGGTATAGACTACTTTCTTTCTTGTTGTGATGTCTGTCAAGGCTTCTGTAGCAGGGTCCGCCCCACCCAAACTGCCACAGTAATTCACACTGTAGCCTTCTAGCAAGCTCTTTCAGGTTTGCTGAAAACTAGCAGTGTGGTCATTTAAAGATTTGGCCTAGTAACGTATAAAATCATAACAAAAACTAGTAAAAGTTTTAAATCTTGTGACGACCTGCTAACCTGGACGATGCTTTTGTTCAAAACTCTTAACCTCAGGTTGCTCAATGAGATCTTCAGCCAATCAATAATAAATCTAATTTCTGGACTACTTTGTGCACTGCATGCATTGAAAAATACAGCATTTTCAAAAATGTAAATGCAAAGTACTGTTACGATCTTATTGGCACATTAGATCGCTATGATAACATAATACATGGCTTCAGTGATTTCCTTGAGATAAATACCAAAATATACCACAGCTGGAATCAATACAGTAGTCGCTATCATCTGAACTCATTTGAAGCAAGAACCTCGGTTGCAAGGGCTAAGTGGAAGGGGAAGAGGTAGGGGTACAAAAATAGAATTGGGATTGGGCCTAAGCCAACACATGCCTCGCACCATTATTATTATTTTTTTTTGCAGACTTGATATAATACAGTATGTCGTCTTTACCAAGGCCAAGGCTTATTTTGTTTTTACTGTAACTGTCAGTTGACGTAAAAGTAGATTGTGTTTTCTCCTTCCTCTATTTCTCTCTCTCGCTCTATTGATCATGTGTGCCCATCGGCCCCTCACACACCTCATTAGACGGGTTTTCAGCAGAGAACCTCTCAGCTCTTTTTGCTAATTGCTGCTTAGCTCACAATCTCATTGATCAAATGGGCCTGAATAATGGAGGTGGGCTCTAATCCATATGACGGTCAAAGGTCAAGCTGAAATGGCCAGTTTGCTGGTTGAGGTCAGAACAAATAGTGTTCCCAAATGATACCCGAGCACTCAATAAGTCAGCGTTTTTATCGCTGCTCGCAATTTATCTGTCCGTGTTTGTCATCCTGATGTCCACCATTCAAGCCTAAAGCAGGTGGCGGTTGTTCACTGCTGATGGCTCTGTAGCCTGTTATTCGATTTGGATGCTGCTGGTGAAATGTATTTGATTTAGAGACTGTTGGGGTCCTTGTGCTGGTGCAGTAATGGAGGTAAATGGGTGTCCCTCCTACACACCGTTTCGGTTCTGCTAAATTATCACTACAGGACATCGCAACTGCCTCAATTAGCATCCAGCCACTGCTAGACACTGGAGTTTTTTTTATAGAAATGTTTTCTGCTTACTTTCCTAAAAAAATGCTTAGCCTGTTTTAATGTAAACTTTGTGGGCCAGTTTCACAAACAGGGTTTAGCTTAAGCCAGGACCATTGGTTTTATCTAAATTAGGGTATTTCAAAAAGCAGCTTTTCTATAAATTATTTAGAAAGCACATTACTAATGTGCGTCTTAAGACAAATCTGTGGCAGTGATGTATTTTAAGATCTCTAACTGCACATTTTTTTTAGTTTAGACAGCTCACCCAAAAAAGAAATATTACTCTCCATCAAGTGGTTTCAAAACTGAGAGTTTCCATGTGTTAAACACACAAACAATATATTTTGAAAGATGTTAGAGACTTGTAATCATTGACTGTGGTAGTGGGAAAACAAATACTGTGGAAGTCAATGGTTAAAGGTTTGCAACATTTATTTAAATTACTTAAATTGTGTTTAAACAAAAAAAAAAGAAAGAAAAAGAAAGTAAGAAAGAAAGAAATAAAATAAAATAAACTCAAACAGGTTTAACAGGTGATGTTTTGAGTAAACTATTCCTTTAAGCCTTGTCTGTAAAACCACAACAATTTTCTGTAGTCACATCATCGGCTGTTTTTGTTTCTGTCAGCTTTTCATTGCGTTAAAGGGCACCCATTTTACCCCTTTTTCAAGATTTAAGATCTTTTGTGTCCGCAGAATGTATCTATAAAGTCAGTTCAAACACCCATCAGATTATTTATAATACCATTCAGAATACTGGAATTTCTGCTCTGAGCACAATGTTTTTGTTGCCTGTGCCTTTAATGGTAGTTCTCCCCACCCACCGTCCAATCAGTGTGCCTCAATCTCCCACTACCTCAGATAAACAGCACAGTGACAGACATAAAGGAAGCAGATCACATGTAACATTTGGGAGAAATACTACAGTAAGAACTTTCCCAATGATTATTTGATGTATTTGTTGTGAAGGTAATTCAAGCCTTTCTGCAACGACGAGTCACACACAATGTCATTACAATGTTTACGCACACACACGCACACAGCGCACACATTTAACTTACACTGTTATTGCACGGCAAATGTGACAAGATACACGTTAATATACACTGCTATATTGATATCCGTTATGTTAATGAAAATAAACCTGAGTTAAATTCCACAAACCGGGATTGAAGCGTCATTTTTTATAATTGTACTGACATGGGGCTGTGATGATGAATTACAGTAATTTTATCGTCTTACTTTACTTACTTTATTACAAACATGTACAGTTTTAAAAACGTTTTTAAACTTGTTAAACTCATTCTTGATCACATTTGATGATGATCACAGAGAGCTGAACAGATCTTTTAATCCCAGTTGTGTTGTGCACGTCCTGTCTTGTAAATATGATTAAACGCGTTACTACGAAGACATGTTAATATGTGGCTGACAATCAATTCGGGGAAACCGCATTCCTTCATTACGTGGGCCTCAAAATGGGAGGGATTTGTATTCTATTTTAACATCAGGAAATAAAAAAAGAGCCTTATTGTCTTTACATCACCCCAACCTCCTAGATACATTTTGTCCTTTACATATTCAAAACAAAATAATGAGAAAATGCTGTTTCCAACTTCAGTCGCTGTCATATGAAATCAAAGCGCTTGTTTGCTGCATTGGCATGTGAATTCAGCAAGGCTCGATAGCATCTTAATCCAGTATCTGATGGTGCCCGCTATCAACTACAGCTACAGTAGGCAGTCTATAAACTGAATAGAGTTGCGATTGAACAGATTGTATGGATCTGGATGAAGACCAGCTCACCCTTCACAAGCAGATCTGTCATTTAAGCATCCAAAGGTCTCTTTGACGCGTCTTTCTGTTTAACTTAGCTGTAATTAGAGCAAGGAATTGGCAGATATCTCCTGGCAAGTGGGCTGAAGGCTTGCTGAAAAGAGGAATGGACATCTAATAGTGGCACTCTGTTGCACGTCAGTCATTCCTGGCCCCTGAAGGCCTTTTCCCTCCATTTGTGAATGGACATAGTGAAACTTCACATAG